TATTAAAGCAGTGGCTAAAGACTAAAGACATTTTAAACAGTGGCTTAAAAATAAATACATGTGTTATTAGTGACTAACTGTGCACTTCCTCCTAAATATAACATACAAATACGATGTACTCATGTCCATACCTTAGCCCTAAGTATATAGGTCATCGTACATCAAGATGAATGTGGCCATTTCATATACAAATTTATCCGTTTTTATTTGAGATATATACTGGAGAGTCTATACTCTATACTATAAAGCAGAATTCTATATCTGACGATAGAGCTATGAAGGCTTTAACTACAAGAATATATGGAGCATTTGTGCTGGAATATTACCGGCACATCTTTAATCATTCAAAATGATTTTGAGACGATAGATTATAAACTTTTCTTTCCAGGAGAAAGGCTATACATCGTCAATGTACATGCATGGCTTTCTAGAATTATGAGCCAAAGTTAATAAGAGTGCAATTATTTCTTGTGTACGATTAAATAGCGATATACTTGATCTGTTAATTTGTCCATAATTACCAATAACAACTGTATTCACTTCCCCCATTGGCTGGCTAGCTGCGTGATTCTTTGAGAAGAAATATAGTACTATACTATATAAATTTATGTACATGATGTTAGTCGCCAGTCCGCCTGCTAATTAATAGAATATTCTATAATAAGAGCGTTTAATTAGCCTAATGCCTTGTAAATTGTACTAAGAATCTAATTTGTTTATGAATGATTTAGTAGCGCCGAAAGATGGGACTAAAAACCAAAGTAGGAAAAGAAAACACTCTATTATTCCCAACATCTGGATCATCTGCTTCCTCCAGCAAAGGCATGGGAATCAAAACAGTACACTTCCCATAATCCCACCATTATACTGAATTATTCATCAATTATCATCGATCTCAGTACAAAACTTCACCATTTTCTATTACCATCGATGTGGGGACCAATTCCTCTTCTCAACACGTGTACTCTCAAGCTCATTTCAGTGCTTCCCTTTACTTAAAAACCCTCCTCCTTTTTATTCAATGGATGAATATTTTAGAAGAAAAAAAGAAAAAGGCTAGCTAACCTAGCTGTTGCCTTTGGTCGTATCATTGTCAGGAGGATAGCGCTTTTAGATGTAAATGCTTTTTCTCTATACAAAATTGATATCTTTTGTTCTCCTGGGGAAGATATTAGAAATAAACTAAGCCTAAGTCGATTCGAGAACTCACTTTAACGCATAGGAGAGATCTAAGAAAACATTTATTTTGGGTGAATCATATCGTAGTGATGATATGAGTAAAAGTAAAGGATCAATTAATAAAAGCTGCTAACAGTGGTAGTATATAATTGCTCTAGGTTCAACTGAAATCTTATTTTCGACACAAATATACCATGGCGGAGGCAAGATTTTCATTCAAATTATAAACAAGTAAGAACACGACGAAGCCAAAGGGATTCAATATTTACCCTCTCTACGTATATATATATACAAAGTAATTTCGACCCTGTATATGATATAGTTTTTCGGGTTTAACCCCTGACTTCGCACATGGATATACATGTAAACATTATTGACATTTTAACATATGTATCAAATTTTAAAACGGTGAATTCATTAATTTTAAATTCTAAATCTGCCTCTATGACAGGTGTGGTAAGTGAGTTAAGTTTGTGAGGTTAAAGGTGGTTATACCAAAGGATATGCGTCCACACCTCTTGTCCTATCAATAATTGGTGCTTATGTGACTTAGTTTATTTAGATTTGAGGCACCAATGATGGGGTTGAATCTAGTGCGAAGACCATTCTTTACACGTCTAAAAAGAGAAGCAGTTTTTAGTCATGGCCTTGGAAGCATATTGGATGTCCCATTTAATATCCCAATGTCTTCTTCACATCAAGCACTTTAAGTGGATTCCAACTCTTCTTCAACAAACTACTAATGTTTTTTCTCTTCTTTTTTTTTTTCCTTGTTATTTCAAGTGGGCTTCCTTTTCATTACCTAACATCTTGAAAAATAGTAAACCACTAAAGTTGAATAATATTAATATAATTATTTTTGTAGCATATTTTGGCATATATATATATATATATAAGGGTTTCTTGAAAATTGAATCCATTAAGAAACAAATTTAAGATTCCTCGAGTCTTTTTAAGTGGGCTCACACAAATCTACGTGCCCAATTGTGTAGAGATGTTGTTATGTTTAAGAGCAATTGCCTCGTTCCACCCATTAAGGTTCCAATATAATTTTATAATAATGAAATGTAGCAGCCTCTGCAAGATCTCGTTCCTTCTCTTATTTTAAGACTTCCTAGGATCATTCATCTTCTCTACCTTCCAATTAAATTTAGTCTTACTTGTTGATTTCTGTCAGTATATAACTGTTCCTCTACCCAATAATGTATAAAACCTACACATACCACCTCCCACCCCCAAAGAAAAAGAAAAAGGTGGAAAAAGACAATCTTCTCTCTCTCTATAATGTATAGATTATTGTTTACTTTTTTTCCATCTGTCTGACACAAGTTTATATGTTGATACATAAAGTAATACGAGCATGTGCCAGATGTTAAAAAGGAACAAGAAGCATTGTCTTGTAAGGAGTTATTAAAACTTGCTATAAAGGTCACAAACTTTTGCTATAGCTAGTATGCAATGGAGAATACTACAGCCTATAAATCATCTTAATTTCTCAATTCCATCAATAATTGGTCCATTAGCTACTATAGGTTTGTAATGTGTCAATTTTATCTTGATTGGACAAGGCTATTAGACGCCAATGATAATAGGATTACTGGTTATTCCGAGGCCTATAGCAGCCCCCTACAATTCAAGAAACTTCTGATCACAATCTCTAATCCTAGAAAAGTTTTAACAATTCACTATTGCCAAACTAGGAAATATGAGTACTACTATATCTCGTGAGTATGCGTATAAACCTATGTTCTTCCTGTGGCTAAAGTTTATGCATGGCATGCCAAATTGCCAATGTGTGTCAATTGACAGTAGATGTGTATGTGTTTTGTTTTAGAGATAGATGTGCCTATTATTTTTCTATAATGTGCAATGTCTGAGGCATGAATTTTATAAATAAAAAAAATAATGTGACAAATGGAGAAGTCTTATTATTCGACAGAATATTATATATATATGGTACATCTCATCAGTGTCATATGGAAGAGTTCTTATCAAACATTGATTGGTCTCTTAAATCGTGAAACCAGTTTGGATAAACATCTGAAAGATATGATATTGTTAATGAATCTCAACTAGTCATTTACTAATACCTTAAGTACTGCTGTTTCTGACACTATTCAGTTGTCTTTACAACTAATAAATACACAGATGTCTGGCTGTTATGCATGGTCTTCCATTAAGGCATATAGTGGAAGTAAGTATGGATAAAAATTAAAAACAATAGGATTAAAACAGCATTGTATTCGACAAATCAAATTCTAAGTTCGACTATTTAAACTACTAAAGCTTTGTGTTCTTATTAAATGTATTTGCATGTGCGTGTCATTCGCCTATTTTCAATCCTCCATCTTTGGAACTCAATCGTACAACATCTATATGCATGCAGTTACAATTTTCTGTGTGCTTCTCAATACTGCCTTCAGGCTTCATCAATACCAGCCTATTTCTCACTCTTAAGTTCCCCACTTACCCCCACCCCCCACACACACCCCAAACAAACAAAGGAGGAAAAAGGTCTTCCCCAACGATATAATGCTTACATGAAAAGAAAATAAAAGATTAACTAGTTTGAAGGTTTTCAATGCTATATAGAAGAATTTCCTTACGTTAATTAACGTGCAATTTGTTTACATTCCTCTCCTGGTCCCCAAAAAAGAGAACAAGTGATATTTCGATGTAAACTAATATTTGAACTTATTTTAGTAGGAATAGTATTTAAGTAAAAAAAAAAACAGTTTTAATATCATTTACAAATGATAGAATTGTATTAGATACCTTTATATAATTTGCTAGTTCTCGTATGACTTCTAATGTTGCCCTTGTTGAACTAATATTAAACTAGATCTAGGATATATCTCAAATGGAGCCTTGGAGCAACAACGATAAATTTGTTTTCGTGAGCTATAGATCATGGATTCAAGTTGTACAATCAATCACTGATATAGATTACCTACATCATATTCTTTGGGTGTGGCCCATCTCCGAACATCGCGTGACTGCAAAATATTTTGTGTACCGGACTGCCCTTTTTAAATCTATATCTCTACCTTTACTAGGATATATCGGAAGATGAATATTATATCGATTCTTTTCAGAATAGTTTAGCCTCAATTTCAGTTTTCCCATTTCTCTGATTCTTGTTAATTCGATGCATTATTAACGAACTTGATACAGCCCATTCTTTCTTATTTCATGCAAAACCATCTCAGTATTACTCGAAAGTTGTTCCACACTTAAATTCGATCCTCTCAATAGCGTAAGTAAAAACGGAGAAAATGTTAGTGTTAAGAGTGTTTCATCTTTCAAAGATGGTTTCCAACTCCAACAAGAAACATTTGCACAAACAAAGGCAAAGCCTCCACGTGAAAGGGTGTTGTTCTTGTCCCATTTTGCACCATAAAACATTTGATCAGTCCATACAAATGCATGCGGTTTTCCAAATTCACATGCACAAATTGAACTACTACATGCCAACACGTGTGCACCCAGATATACATTTTTTTTTTGGTGCAAAAGATAATAGTCATTAATTAAAGGTATACTATTAGCACCCAGATATACATACGTATACTCCCTTCCTTTTCTTTCTCTGGTCCTCCATGATTAATTAGCACGCTCCTTAAACAAATTATTTATTATGAATTAATTTATTAAATTATTCTTGTCAATGGTTATTAAAGTTATAATAACTCGAATAAATTTGAGAAGCATGTATTAATAGTAAGGATAATATTGCAGGAAAATAATAACTCTCTATGAGAAGATATTTTTTGGCATAAGAGATTAGTAAAAGGGAAACTAGGGAGTACATATATAGGAGATAAGTGAGAAGTGCATAATACTTTCTTATTGAATTTATACTCGGAAAATTACAAAAATTTCTCCATTTTTTCAATTACAGTTGAGTCTTCCAAAACGAAAAGGTGCTACAAAGCTCTTTAATTTCTAAACCCATCCCCAACAAAACTTCCAGGGTTAAAGGGTCAACTCTTGGTGTTAGCTAGTCTTCTGGGTTTTATTTCCTCTGATATCTTTGCAAGGACGATCTTTTCCACTCCACCAAACGATTTAAGAAGTACATAACCTGCCATATTAAGAAATACCAACATATTAATATTCTGACCGAATATACTACTCAAGTAATAATTCTAATCATTTCTAAATCATTAAAAAAAGGACGTCAAAATAAAACAATAATAGTCATAGAGTAAATATTTTCAAGTGTACTTGCCTCTAATGGCTCTTGCAAAGAATAGGAAGCATTCGTTTCTTTAGGTGCTTTGGACACTAATATTCCAAAACCTTGTCCTCTGTCGCGCAATACCTGATTATTTTCCATAACAAAATATCAGTACAATTACTTCTTTTAAGAAATGCAAAGATATTTTTTTTAATATTATTATGATATAATAAAATACCTTGAAAGCATCTTCATCTGTTCGATCATCGCCAATGTATATAGGCAAAACATCATTTGAATTAGCATACCCTAATGATTCTAACAAAAATTCAAGTGCCTTTCCCTTGTCCCATTTAATGCTGGGACGAATCTCCAAAACCTGTTCATAAAACAAAAAAAAAAAACACGTTTAATATGCATTTTTCATTTCTTTATTTTGTATACAGCACTACTGTTTATATCATAATTAAGAAAGAATAAGAACTTTTAAAAAATCACCTTTCTTCCTTGAGTTAATCGAAGTTTTGGGTATTCCTTTGTCACTGACTTCACTTGCTCAGCTAGTTCAGTCCACCTCTGAAGTTACAAGTAAAAGAAAAAATAATGAGAATTCAAATTACTATGTCAAGTAAAAATGTCAAGTAATTCTGAGGTTAAAAAAGAAACTGTACCTTTTCTTCAACACGACGGAAATGTACGGATAAGCAGAATTTGTTGTTTTCCACTTTCGCTCCTGGTATAGATTTTGTTTTCTCCACTAAAGATTTATATACCTGAAATTGTTAAGTAAACGTTTCAACTTTTTTTCTATTCTTATATACTATCTTGACAAAAAAGAAAAACACTAGAGGCGAAGTAAAAGGTTAAAAAAAACAACAAAAACCAACCTCATCAATCATGGGTAAAAATTCTCTGGCAGGTTGGCAGAGAACAGTTTGATTATTTCCCTGAATGGTTAAAAAAATACCAAACATTATTACAAAAGAACAAAAAATAACATGGGATTAATATAGTAACAAGTTGATCAAGAAATAAAAGTAGTATACTTTGCTCACATTTCTATGTTTGCGTCCTTTAGCAGGCGCCTTAATGTCCATTCCATGACTTCCAGCATAATACAGTTCTGATAACTTTACAAAATTAAAGACTTTTGCTCTGCATCTTCCACTCACTATTGCTGTAGGAAAATACTTGGCTGTGTCTCTCACTGCTTCCCTCATCTATTTACCACAAACCAAACAAGGAATTAGTTTCATAACTATAAAAAAAAAATTGATTAAAACATTAGTTAAGTTTAGTGATAATTGGTAAAAAAGTGAACAAACCTCAGCAGTCATAAAGGCTTTGTCAGGATCATCAACAATAGGAGACAATGTACCATCATAGTCCAAAAACATTATTATTTGTTTCCCTTTTGAAGCACTTATAATTTCCTCGAACATGTCCAAAGCTGAGGGATGATGAACCTATTCAATTATATTAAAACAAGAAGTTAAAACCACATAAAAATCATTGTAATCCATTTGTAATTTTTTGTTTTAAACAAATTTATTAATGAATAAAAGACTCACAATCCAAGACTTGAGATTTTCAGTTTCAGAGGATCTACGAGGTGGGGAAGAAGCTCTCATGGAATCAAGTAAAGCAGTGATCCTATGATCTCCGGCAGCAGACTCAATGTTTTTGAATGATTTCTTCGCCGGAACGGCGATGAATCTCCCCGGCGGCGGTAGTGGTCCGGGAACAGCCGGTGAGAATGAAAAAACAGAAGAGTCGAACCCTGATCTTGGGTCAGAAACAATCACATTCTGGTTCGTCATTTGGCCACACAAAATTACCCTGCATATGGTACAAACACGTCATATATAGTACGTACTATGCATAACTGATGAAATCGCGTTAAATAGACGGACCAAAAAATCACACCAAAAGAAAAAATGTAACGTACCTTGAAAAGATAAAAAATAAAAAAAAAAATAAAAAAACAGAGGAACTGGAATTAGAAAGAGAAAAAATTGGAGAGACACAGAGTCAGAGAAATGAATAATTAAACTTCTCTGTTTCAGTGTGTTTAAGTGAAAGAGAAAGAAAATAGAGAAGTAAAGAGCAAAGGGCCAAGAAAGAGAAAGAGAGAAGATTGTATGCAAGTCACAGGGAAAGAAGAAAGGGGGAAAGACTGAATTTATAAGGTAGAGAGGGGGCACTAAGGCACCCAAACTTTTTCTGGCTTTTATTTTGTTACCTTTTGTGCCCTCAATAACGACTCAGCTATGCGTCGGACTATATTACTTTGGGTGCTATTTATTTTACTTTGTAATCTTAAATTAGATATCTGCTAATGTGAACAGTTTAAAGATTAAGAGCTAATGAAAATGTAATTCAAACTTCATTTTGTGGACCTGTCTAACCGCTAATTCAAAAGTCTTATACGTTACTTTTCCATGTTATAGACGGTGGATTATTAGAGATGGAATACTTTGGTCTTCTTAATTTTTTTGCTACTTTTTGCTTATGAAATTCAGTTCTTAATTTATTTTTGAATTTTAGTGATATCTGCAAAATAAACTGAAAATACAAGTCAAAGTCAAAATGAGTAATTTTATTTTAACAAAATGTTAGTCAAGATTAACTTAATTTGAATGTCATAAAGCAATAAATGCCTCACATTTTGAAATACACGTCCTAAAAGATTTTTTTTTTTTTTTTTTTTTTTTTTTTTGAAAACCGATTTTATGTTAATGAGGTGTATTATAAAGGTTATGGAGTAAATGAGCCTCATGAATAGAAAATAAATACTTAACTCTTCCTAAAGAAGATATGCAATAAAGAACAGGAGTAGTCTAACATTTTGCATGTAAATACCCCTTTATTTCCTTTTAGGTTCTTGGGTATGCCTAAGTCTAAAGACCTTGCACCACCGCCACGTCGCCATTTTAAATTTCTAGACATTAGGTTATGGTCCTAATTTTGGTGGCAGCTAGCTGTACCCTCAAAATACTCAATAGATTGGTTAATGAAGTTTGGAAATTTTACTAGCAAAAGGAGAAATACGATTTTAGGGATATCATATGATCTCAGGGGGAATTTAGGACTAAGGAGAAATTTCTAAATTCTGGCAATTATTCATAAAGTTTCTTTATTTATACATGATGCTTTGGTGGCATTGGTTGTGCATCAATCTTCTCCCTCCACAGAATAGGCTAAAAGCGGATAAAAATTATACTCGCACACGATGTTTACACTTAGCAAATGAATACCTGATATTTGTCCTATATAAGTTATTTATCATTTAACCACAAATAGCTAATATACATCTACACTTTAATTTTAGATTCTCATGACTAAACTGCTTAGTTTGATGTAAACATTCGGTGCAGATAAGTATTTATCCGCTAAAGGCCCGTAGAATTTATTTTCCCATTCTTGCACTATATATGTTTTATGATTATTACTTCATTAGCGGAAAGAAATAGTTGGCTAATTATTAGTCCGTTCAACTCATAAGTTCATGACATGAAAGCGATTTTGGCAGATTAATAAAAGTTGGACAAGAAAGTTTCATGTCTAGCTAGTACACTTACTTTTACATTTCAATAATAGTTCACATTATTACTACATGTCAACGTTAAGACCTTTGTTTATAAAGTTAACATCTTGCTTAGATGCTTCACAATGTCTCATGTACCTTCAACTTCACACACGCGCACACAAAATTAACCATTTCCTCCAATCAAATGGTGAGAAAAAGGAGTAAAACTTCCAATGATAATTGAAGGAGAGAAGTCGTTTTCTTTTAACCTTTAGTTTACAAATTACCCAAAAAGGGTAACTTGCTCTTTACTAATCCAATTTTTATGGGGAAAAAAACGTAGAGCTCGATCCTTTTGTGTATAATGCACGCATAGCAAAATTTACAGAAGTAGAATACAGACTTACAGGATTCACGTGCTAGTGAAACCAATAATCAGTAGAAAGTTGAAATGATTGTCTCTTAGTTTGCAAATATAGAACTTTTTTTTTGTAGTATCGTCTCTTTAACTACAAGTAGAAGTTTCCATTTTACCAATACACTTCGATTCTTGGCTACTAACTTTACCTTCCCAATAAACTTATGGGATATTTGTTTACGCAAGTTGTTAAATCATACTGAAAACATACATATGGGATTTCTAAATTAGGTAGAATCTTTATAAATCAAGAAGCTCAATCACTCTTACTGACAACTGAAAGGACGACGTTCTTTAAATAATTAAATTCCTTTCTATATATGGTAGTTGACAAGCCTGTGATGAAGCAGCCAGCTGAAGCGGACGAGGACGGGTGGACAAAAGTAGCTACTACGCGTTACAAAGGTAGAAGGAATTAAAGCATTACCACTCACGGAAAGAAAAAGGAATTAGACCTTACTATAGTAGTGTACAAGAAATTGACAAGGATAACATCTATTAGGGTGTTAGTGCACTAGTGACCGTGTATGGTCTTGAAATCTATCAAATGGATGTTAAAATAACTTTCTTAAATAGAGAATTGGAAGAAAAAGATTTACATGGAACAACCTGAGGGTTTTGTGGTTCCTGGTAAAGAAAAGAAAGTGTGCAAACTTGTTAAGTCGCTTTATGGACTTAAACAAGCACCCAAACAATGGCATGCAAAATTTGACCAAACAATGTTAGCAAATGAATTTAAAATCAACGAGTGTGACAAATGTGTCTATATTAAAAATACTCCAGGTCATGAAGTCATTGTTCGTTTATATGTTGATGACATGTTGATAATGAGCAAAAGTATGGCAGATATAAATGCTACAAAGCGCATGTTGGCTAGCAAATTCGACATGAAAGACTTAGGAGTTGCTGGTGTGATCTTAGGAATCAGAATTCACAAGACTCCACAAGGTCTAATATTATCACAGTCTCACTACATTGAAAAGGTACTTGACAAGTTCAAGTATTTGGATTTCAAAATTACCAAGACTCCAATTGACGTGAGTTATGCACTTCAAAAGAATGGAGGTGAAAGTGACTCACAACTGGACTATGCAAGAGTATTGGGAAGTTTGATGTATATCATGAATTGTACGCGACCAGATATAGCATGTGCTATTAGCAAACTGAGTCGGTTTACAAGTAATCCCAATCAAATACATTGGATGGCGATGAAACGAGTTTTGGGTATCTGAAACATACCCAAAATTATGCTTTGAATTATAACAAATATCCTTCCGTGATCGAGGGATATAGTGATGCAAATTGGATCACCGGATCATCTGAAGTTAAATCCACGAGTGGATATGTTTTCACAATTGGGGGTGGAGCAGTATCTTGGAAATCATCCAAACAAACGTGCATCGCCCGTTCTACAATGGAATCTGAATTCATAGCTTTAGATAAGGCCGGTGAAGAAGCTGCATGGCTCCGGAATTTCTTGGAAGATATTCCATTTTGGCCCAAACCTTTGGCACCTATTTGTATACATTGTGATAGTCAAACGGCAATAGGTAGGGCAGGGAGCGTTATGTATAACGAAAAATCTCGTCATATACGACGGAGACACAATAACGTTAGACAACTACTCTCTAGTGGTGTTATCGCAATTGACTACATAAAGTCAAGAGATAACGTGTCGGATCCACTTACAAAAGGCCTATCTAGAGAGGCAGCTGAAAGATCATCAAAGGGAATGGGGTTAAAAGGCCTAGGACAAGTCATCATGGCAGTAACTCTACCTAGCAGACTGGAGATCCCAAGAACTAGGTTGATGTTCTAAACGTCAATACCACACAAGAGGGGGGTGATTTGTGTGGTACCCAATTTTCGCTCTAGAAGAACCTGGTTCTTCTATGTGTACTTACTACTACTGTTTGCGGAATTAAGAGTACATAAAATAAAGAACACAGAGATTTTTTACGTGGAAAACACCTGGCTCAAAAGGTGAAAAAACCACGACCTACTACTCAGTAGGATTTTCCCAAACTTCCACTAAAATCACTAAGCCAAAAAAGCATTTACAAAACTCTTGTAAACCTAAGGATTAAACTCTAATCCCAGTGTGGCACACAACCTCAACTATTGCGACACATTCAAGTTAGCCTATAACTTGAATACTCAAAGTACCTATTACAATTGCTTCTACAAAAGCTGGAAAGGTACAACTTTAAACCACCTACTACAATTGAACTAGAATAAGAATAAACACAATGGAATTGGTTCTTCTTTCTTGTCCAAGTAGCTTCAGGAATGCACACTTGAATCTCACATAAATTGCTTGCAAAATTGCCTCGTTCTTTTGCTCTCAATTTAGTTTTACTTCTGCGTTTGTGCAATCCCTGTAAAAGAGAACAATCACTGTTATTTAATGAGTTAGTAATCAGAGTTTGATTGAGACTCAATTGCTTCCATCGAAGTTGAGTCCTTGAAAAATACAAACTCCAACCCTATCCTTTATCCGGATTGTGTCCTCTTCCCATGAGGATACTTTCTTTTTCATCCAATATGCAACCTTTTCGATCAGTTCAGGAGATATTGCTGCTTTATCCTTGAGACTTATCTCCTTCACGTGTATCTCACATGTATAGGTTGATAAATACTGTGTCTCACATGATGGACCTGGTCCATGACTGAGTTCATTTGTCATTCTTCAAAACTTCACCTGAACTTGGGCCAACATAGGTTCAAAGAGATCAAACAAAGTTATGAATGACGGTTCAACATTGTCAAATAACTCAATCCATTCTCGTGATGAAGACAATGTTCAAAAACGAGGTAAAGCATTAAGGCTTTTTGATGAGTCAATAAAGCTTAAAGCTTTTTAATGATTTGCTAAGTTTGGCAGGATATGACCAGATAGTGTGTCTTTAGGATTACACGTTTAGGAATCACCTATGTGAGTGTGAAGTGTAAGCCACTTCAAGGGGAATGAAAGTAAAGGCCCATTCTCTAAGCACTTATAAAACCAGGCGGTGTTCATGGCTGAAACGAACACAACCGTGAGAATCATAGATGGTTAAGGATTGATTGTGTGACTTATGTTGTCTAGGTATACAACAAATCTCGATGGTTCAAAGATATCAAATCTAACGATTGACCGAGTATATCCGATATAAGTTCACTACGAAAAGTTCAAAGGAAACCTACTTATCCAGATGCAATTAATTCTTGCATGTAAAACACAC